TTAGTATTTACTTCCTGGAGTCTCTGCTCCGCCCGTTACCTAGTAACCCGTTGCCTAGCAACTGCTCCCAATTGTTTGGCACATAAACCCGTGTAAAAATACACTTCAGTGTTTGTGTAGATTAAACAAATGAGATATGTTAATTAATGAGCTTTAGAGGTGCTGGAAGGCAGATTTTGCAGTCTCTAAGCTAACCAAATGATAGCTGTAGCCTTACTTCCCGTATAGACACGAGAGGTATTGATCGCCTAACTCTAGTAGTATATTTCCCAAAATGTTGAACTATTGCTTTAGGCCAGAGGTTTTCAAAGTATGAGGGGAGGGTCCCAAACAGTTTCAGGGGAGGCCAAGTGAATAGAAGTGAAAAGGTATTACATTGGTTATCAAAAGGAAAGAAGAGCCTACCTGTGTGTGATTTGGTTAAAGAGATCAGAGATACAGTAGTTTTGGTAAACTGTTTTCCCACTTTATCAGAGTCAGAAACTAATAAATGCCAAAGGAGAGACCTTTTTTTCCCGTGTTTGGTGTAGTCTGAACTTGTGTCAAACAGCAATATTAGGCTATCTTGGCTAAATTGTTCAGGATCAAATAAAGCTAATCACGAATACTAGGCATCCAGGAAATGAGCAAAACTAAGTTTACTTTTCCCAAATTTTGTCTGAGGGCAGGCCCACAAACCCCTGCTTTAGGCTTATGGGCTTAGTTGTGAAACTACAAAGATCAAATGGCTTTAAGAGCTAAGTAACTTTTCTAATGTGAAATAAGTGAGCCATTCAAACTTTAAATGTGGTGAGGCATCTTGGCTAAAGATTTGATATCCTTAATGTTGTTTTGCAGAATCAATAAGAAATCAGCAATGTTTAATAATAGCAATCTGACACTGATTGACGGACAGCAGTAGCCAAACATTACTTCTGTCCTTAATACCACTGACATTACCGACTACTGTAACAGAAACTATCTCTCTCACTTTGCTTATTATTTCTCTCTACTAACCACAGAAAGACAGAGTTTATGTATCTGTTAAGGTGTGGGTGGGAGGGGGCCAAAAGAAGAGTGAGAGCAAGTAAGAGTGTGTCTGTGTCTCTATGTGTGTCTGAGAGAGAGTGAGTTGTGGGAAGGGAAAGGGAATAAAAATAGAACAATATAAGTACATTGCCATTTAATGCCAATTAACAATTAGAAATGGAACAAACCAATTAATATTATTACAATTACAGATAAAACATTTTAAACAGCACCAGTGACTTGTCCCTCGTCTGGTGTCCACCCATCCGTCATGTCTCACAGGTTAGATCCCTGACGTCATCCACTATGCACTCTGAAATGATGACTTTAACAGGACTATCAATTCTATTAAATGAAATATCACATGCTGTAACACTGCCATTAATTTGATTTCACTCATAATTTTCTGAGATATGTGTGTGAATCCAGGTCTCTGCACTATCGCATACCAAAGAAATCAAACTATTTCAACAGTCTAATTCAATTCAAGTAAGTTATATTTATATAGCTCAATATCACAAATCACAAATTTGTTTACGATCTGTAAAGCATAGCCTATTATTCAACAGTGTATTTTATACACGTCGAGCTACCATGTGTGAAGCAGCAAACTGCTAGAGAAGATGAGGAAACATGCCTGCTACACATGCAGTTTTTCAGTGCTCTGTTCTGCCTGGTAGTTCTGGGCTCTGGTTATATTCTGTCGCATTAACGTTGGGATAGAGGATATGTTGACAGAGAGAGGACATTGCACATTGAGACTGTAGGGCTTTTCCAAGGCTGGTGGCATTGGGACATGATGACAAGTGTGTGTGTGTGTGTGTGTGTGTGTATGTGCAAAAGGGTTGCCTGTGGAGCGGAGCATGTGGATGCCCACCCACTCAGCAGCCTCGCGGCCCTCGTCATTTCGCATCAATCCACAGCCCCTCAATATGAATAGGACAGGCGTCCTAAAGCTATGCAGTACTAAGAGAGGCAATGGCATTATGCATCGACCCTGGGCCCCTCAGCTTGAAATATGACTACGCCAGCCTGTTACAATGGCAGTTTCCCTCTAACTTGTACACCACTCTGTTAACAGGGGCACTATTTTGGCAGTTAAAGTACATGAAATTAATGTACTTTACCATTCTGTACTGCCTATAATAATACAAGCAAGTGAGCGCCAATGGACATCAATGAAAGTACAACTTTGGAAAACTACTTCCACTTTTAAATTTGAAACAAATAAAAATGTTTTTCCAACAGTTTATCACTCTCTTTTTTTAACTCTCTTTTCGCATGTCCGCACACTGTATACAATAAACTCACCTTCATTGCACTTTCATTTTCACTGTGAGCCATTCATGTCCATCAGCTCCTCAAACATCAAACGAAGCACACTGAGAAGAAAAAATGTCAGTAAAAATGTTTAAATTACTTTCCAATGTGGTACTCAATTCAAGGATAGCATTAATACATAATATGCAGCTGTGACACAGAGTCTGTCTTTTTCGGTCCAATTTGAAACATCTGCAAAACACAATTAGCACAGAGGCACAAAAGTAGGAAGTACTGAGCATGGTGCACCAACTTATCCATCTTGTTTCACAAGGGCATTTGATGAAAGTTAGTTTGATTTGGATTTTGCTCGAAGAAAGTACAAAGTGAGCTAAATATGCGAGCAAATGTATCTGGGCTGTAAAGAATTGAAGGTGGTGCACTAAAACTGAGAGTACAGTTCCACACAGTAGCTTCCCTGTGGCATCACAGAAGCTTCACACTTCATTACTGCAAGGCCAGCGATGTGTGAAGCCATTATGTAGGAGCAGTGGGAAGGTGCGTTGGGGGTATAGGGCGTGTGGGATATGTGTGTGTGTGGGGTGGGGTTACTAATAAACTCCCATGCTCAAAGTGGTTTCTGGAAGCAGGATCAAGCCATTCGCATGGAAACATTGTTTAATATATTCAAACAGCTGGGAGGTGTTGTCTGTTGTCCCAGTGTCAAATGAAAGCGGACAAACAAACAGCTGGCAAGGCATTTTCTTGCCCCACAGCTCTCCTTACAACTATATTTTAACAAACTGATGCACATGCATGGAGCAATTTGCAATGAATCACACAGTAAATAAGCTCCAAACTACTGTCATGCAATTAAATCCAAGACGGTGTATCCTCTGTCTCTTGACCATAAGAGAGGACTGAACAAATCTGTGTCCTCTACTTCCACCCAGAGGCCAAAAGCAGAATGTCACACTTGTTTATACTATTCTTGACAGGAACACATCTGTATTTCATCTGCTCCTCCATTTGCACATGAACCAACTAATGCAAAAGGTGGTAGTAACTGTTTTCTACAACACATGTAACCTAAGTGACTTAACATGTTTCACTCAACCTCAGTGCCAATGATCCAGTCAAACCACCTTCTCAAAGGTTTACAATAATACAAATTCATAATCAAAGAAGTCCTCTTGTGACAAATAGTTTTTCAGTATTTTGAATGATTATGTTCTGCCAAAGGCTGTTTGACTGGCAGCTGCCCACTGAATTTGCAAAGAATAGCTGATTATTTTGAAATCAGCATTTCAATTAGACCAGTACTGGCATGCCTAGTGCTCAAAGTACTTCTGTAAAATGTGGGACAATCAAACATTAATTTTCAATCAAGAACTTTGGGATTCATGGCAGTATCCCAGGGCACTTACTGTATGTGAGTGCCAACGCTGAGCATTCAGCACTGATTGAAATTCTGGCTGCTGAAATTAGTCTAATTCAACAAGCCAGGCTAGCAGCATGACAAAGTTATCACAGCCATTTTCATTCAAATGGACATTTGACAAGACCTGTGTTTATGGACTACAAACTTATAACTACAAGTTATAATTTATTTTACATGTGCAACTTCTGAACATTATACAAGCTGCATTAAGGACTTTACAGAAGAGACATGTAGGGGATGATTGCACCATGCTAAAGGATTTTTGTCTATGTCAAGGGGAAATATATATATATGAGGCATATGGCCAAGAGCATTACACTCAGTATTTTTTCCAACTAAATTTAAGTAGTATAGTTCCAAATTAACATTAATTTGTTTTATTGGGGCATTTGTTCTCTATTCATCAATAACAGCTTTCCTTTTAAATGTTATTTGACAGGGAGTATAGGCTATAAAGCTTTGGGTTGAAAATTGAGAAAACTACAGTAGAGGACATTTACCTCGTATTGAGGGACTGTAGTCTCAATGAGAATCTTTACAGAAATATAATTTTGAAACATGGCCTAATGTTTTGAGCGAGTAATGATCTTTTACAAGAAAATTAAAGTGCGTTGAATAATGCATAGACTGATGGAATGACTGGACAAATCAATGTTTCAGAAATGCCAACAATTAAGAAAAAACAAACATGACTCATGGAGACTCATGAGAGATGAAAGTTTCTCTTCAACCTTCTTTGGCACTTGACAGAGACAAATATTTTGTTAAAGCTGGGGTGGGCAATGCTGGAGAACAAGAAAGAGACTTTTTAAAGTATCTAACCTAAAAAAATCGCACATCTCCCATGCCTCTCCACCAAAACGACATTTTCATGCAATCCAATGAAGGTTGAGGTCAAAGGCAACTGTTGTTGAATAACTATGACCTGGATGACTGAGAACCTTCACAGACATTTTCATGTGCATTGTCTGCGTGCAGGTAGGCAGCAACACTCCTGCTATAGCCACAGACACAGATTTTAAATTTTTGTGTCATAGATTGTAAAAGGTCAGAACCAGGTCAGAACATTTGATTTATGGATTGCTATCAGGATGTAGACAGAATAACAAATATAACATAAGGGCTTCTGAAATAAATTGCCAACCTCAGCTTTTATACAGTGAACCCATCATAGCTGCATTTGTATATTAGCTTATTACAAAAGGACTGGCAACCTGAGCTCAGTTACCTGGATCTGAACGTTTTATTTTTATTTTTTACAGGCCATGACAAAGGACAGCCGTCCGCCAACGAAGGACCCCAGAGGGCCAAGATGGCGGCGCCCGTGTCAGACGCCGGCGAGTTTGAAAGCTGGCTGAATGATCGTCTGGACTTATTAGAAGTGGACCGTGAGGTGTATGGGGCGTACATTTTAGGGGTCCTGCAAGAAGAAGAGAGCGACGAGGAAAAAGAAGATGCGCTTCAAGGAATTTTATCCGCATTTCTGGTGAATATCCACAGCGGCATGTCCCGCTCAGCCACCAAGGCTGTGTTTTTTTCATGTGTTGCTGTCTGTCTTGTGCCGGGGTACTACGTGACAGCGCTTATGTTATCTGTCATATATGGAGCAAAATATCGACGTTAGACACAGCAGTATTTCTTCAACTTAGGTCTAGAAAGCACAGGCAGTGACATGAGCTGTTCTCTCCTCGCACGCCAAATCTCATTCAAAAATATGGAACTTTTAGTTAATTGTCTTTCACTGAAAGCACCAAGCAACATACGACTCAATATCTAATTCCTTAGAGTTTTTTGACATATTCGGCTAAGGTAAAGAACCCCCTAATCCACGGTGCTGTTTAGCACAGATACATGTTGGGAATTGGTTAACCATTTGCACACCTGTGTAAGTTAGTTATAGTGAAAGTGGTGCTGTATAATAACGTATTGGGACCGTATTGAAATATCTAACCATAGATGTGTTCATTTAGGATAAGCTGCCATGATGAGCTTTGGCTGTTTTATCAGCTGTTAGTCTGTTATTAGCTTAACAGGTAATAACAGTTCACTGAACTCACATAATGCAAAAACTGTTGATGTGTTGTTTTCATATCCTCCTTGTGAAGTTTAGCTGAATTATATCTTTGCATCAGCCTCTGGTAGACAAACCAGAAATAGGATCACAGTACCACAGCAGTGAATTAATGTTGTTGTCCTGTAGGGGCTTATCTGAAAAGCACATCACTATGCCTCATCTCATACTAACAGGCTGTGTGATGTATTGGGCTTTAATTACCTGGTTGGTTAGCTGTTGAGTATATAACTTGTACATAATTGTTACTTGTCCTTTGTGTGCAGGATGAGGACACTGTGGAAGATGTCTGCAAAGAGATGATCAAACAGTGGACAGAGTGCCACAGCCGATCAGCAGCCAAAAGAGATGCTGATGATGGTATTATGTAACTTTTGATTTATCCACATTGCTAATGTCATTGAAATGTAAAGATATTTTTTTCCTTAAAAGACCTCGTCAGTAAGAATAAAACTTCTGCTCCTCTCGGGGGAACCAGTTATCAAGGTTTGCAGTGTCTTGGCAAATCCACATACAGTACTGTATAGCTATGATGCAACCTTAAACCAATGAAAATAAGAACAACAATGCAGTCCAAACTTGCACAAACATTTTACAGTCATAAGAATTCATATAAGCATTTTTAAGACAGCAGTCCAAAGTCAAACCAGCAGGCTCATCAACTCATCTAAATCTTGATTAAACATCAAAGACAGCTTGCTGCTGAGTCTGTCCTCAATACCAGGTAAACATACAGAGGGAGTAGCTCTTATTTTTATTATTTGTTGAGTTTGGAGCAGAGCGCAAGGCATTTTTGTCTCGGGGAGAGATTACCATTTCCTCCAAAAAAATTAACAAAAACAGATAATGAGACTGCAGAAAGTTTTGTGTTCTGGAAGTGTTTATGGCAAAAAGTAATTTGCACTGATTTTGTTTGTTTTGTCAGTGTTATTACTGGAAAGAGATTGTTTCCTGTGTGTACATAACCATAAGCATGTGTAAACTGTCTGGAGCCTCAGATGGGTACCCTTGTGGCTCCTGTGAAAGTAGCTTCATATTAACAGTAAAACATACTTTTATTGCAAGTAAAGGTACTAATTGTTACTGTGGTTAATTTACAGTTTGGCTGTGTTCTGTCACACCTTTTCTGTAGCTGAAGTCCAGGCCATCGCCAGTATGATCGAAAAACAAGCTCAGATTGTGGTGAAACACAAGGAGGTGTCTGAGGAGTCAAAGAAAAGGAAAGAAGCCCTCCTTGCTCAATACGCTAATGTAACCGACGAAGAGGAATATCCTTGATTTTGCTCATTGTGATGACAGTAATCCTAGAGTGGTCCATATGATTCACTTTAACTACCAATGTTTCTTTGACATCCATGAACATATTCATAAGAAAGCAAATGGTTTATGTTGTCTCATCCAGTGAATATTTCCTTCAGACACATCCAGTCATGATCCTTAAGATGTTATCTCCTTGACTAAAGCACTGAAGCTGAAGAAGAGGAAACAAGCGGAAATAACTTTACTGGAAATGATAAATGTATCCTTTCTAAAGCTGTTTATGACCAGATGCTATTTAAAATCAAATGGATTTCAGTGTTACTAATTGCGATATGAATAGATAATGGAATAGTTTCATAACCCTGACTACACAATTCACTGTTTCTACCATTTAGACCTCCATAGTGGTAAATTGAAGTAAAGGTAAATTAGCAGACTATGTTGGCTTTCATCCAGCTGTCCTTCACTGAAAGTGCCAGCCCTGTTTAAGAACACCAACGTGGAAGAGGTGCTGAACAGACAAAAGCAAAAGCGGGACCAGGCTCGTGAAGATGCTCAGAAGAAGAAGGAAGGGGACAAGATGCAGCGTGAGAAGGACAAACTAGCAAAACAAGACAGAAAAGAGAAGGAGAAGAAGCGTACACAAAAAGGTGAACGCAAAAGATAAAACCAACAGACAGGACAAATTGTAAGTGAAAACCCTTTCACTTACAATTACAGGTTTTGTTACAAATGAAAAGTTATTGCCTCTTTTCAGCTAAACCGCATCGACTCATTCAGTATGTGAACATGTCTTCATCAGACCCCTTCGACCAGATCCTTATTACTTTCTGCAACTCATCATACACATCAAGAACAATGTGATGGATGTTTCTTTTTTCTGGATGCTGATAGGAGTAGAGACAGACAGATGTTGTCTAGGAATAAATATCCAAATCTTTCTATGATGATGACTGAGTCAGTCTTATGTCGTTGATTAAAAAATTGCTTGTTTAAGTTCTGCCAATATGTTGTTTCAGAAACATGCTTTGGCTAAGCCTTGACACATTTATTCCTGAAATGACAAACACAAATTGGATTGATAATACAAATGGAGGAATGCTTGTAAAGCGTCTCAGTCCACAGATCCACTAATATCCTGTTGATACGTTTTAGTTTTACAGTCTATGCATTTTCTGTCTGAAAATAACTACAAAGGAGAGGTTGATAAAATTTTACCTCAGATGTCATGTACCATAATTTGAATGTTTATAATGGGGTTCATCTTTTTAAATTAATAAAAAAACAATCAAATTTGGATTGCTTTATTTTTAAAATTACCATTTACAGAACAAGTAACAAGGGAAAAAAAACAAACATGAACATTAAAATGGCAGCGAATGGAACTGCTCATATTCACAAAGCATAGTCGGGAGTACTGATACAGAAAATGTCTACAGACTGATGCTTCCAAAGAACTGCTGCTCGACTTAGCTTTATAATGGATACAAGCTTTAGTCCCTAGCTGACAAACGGTCACACTGATAAGAATACTGTTTGATAGTATTATCTGAAAATAATCAGATGGAAAAGTGTGATTAATACATTTAAATTCTAAAACGCTGAACTTTCAGAAAGTCAGTTTCTTTTCTTACAGTTCAAACCTTTGACCAAATTACAGATAAAACAGTTTTCTGAATACAGTGTTGAGGCAAAAGGTCTTAAATTAATTGGAACATTTCAGAAAACCTTTTATAATTTAGCATGTGCATATTAAACTGCATCCAGAGAATTACTTTAAGTTAGCTATGTTACATTTCACTGATAGGAATGATATTTGTTAATATACGTTTCTAATGGAAAATGTGATTGATACATTTAAATTTAAAACATTAACTTTTTGCAGAAGTTTGAGTATCTTTGGGATAGTTCAAACTTTACCAAATTACAGACAGATAAAACTTTTTTTTTTTTGATTACAGCATGTGAAGGTTACATAAACTGAAGCTGAAAATTAATTGGAACATTTTAGAAAACATTTCAATATTTAGCATGTTCATTTTAAACTACTGCCCTTATGATTCAATTATTGCTTGGGAATACCCAGAACTGAGGTTCCAATACATTTAAATAAATAAGTAAAACAATGAGGAATTCACTGAAATCTTACACATAAATAGTGCCTTTAAATACAACTGTGATGGAGCAAGATTCACGTTAATTTGGAACCGACACTAATTAAATGAAAAAGTTAAGATGCAGCAGGATAAATTACATTTCATGCAATTCCTACACAACAAAAGTTAGTCAACAGAAGCTCCTGGGTGCCAAAAAGTGCAGCCATCGTCAAGCTTCAAATTGCTCATCTCATATTATGCAGTGATCACTGTGTTGTAGGAAAATGTCACTGTAGACTTGCAGATAACATTTGTTTTTACATCACCCTATTGCCTGTGGGAAATTTATAATCAGGGCATTCTGAAGTGGTTTTAATTAAATCATGCTTGTTGCCTGCTAAATCATAACTTAAAAGAGTATCCCTCAAATGGAGAGAAGCACCTCTCTCTGTTTGTGGCCTCCCTGTTAAAATGGTGGTCCTGCTTATTGACAGGTTTCGGTAGTGTCATCTGGAGAGCACACCACAGGGCTGTGCGGAGCTTCCTAGTGGTAGCAGCAAGGTCCTTCAGTGCAATGACCAACAACAGGGTGTCTATGAAACAGAAGCAAGTTAGCACAGATAGCATTTAAGGGAGAGGATCATTTGTATACCCTTGCAATATGAGTTACCTCTGTCCTCTGTAAAATGAACTCTCTGCCGCTGGTGTTTGGACATGCTGGCAATCTCCTCCTTCCGTCTTGCCTGGGTGATGCAAATAGCCATATGATGTCTGTTCAGTGCAGTGTGGATGTTGATATGGAGGGAAATGTTGTGCAGACACTCCATTCTATCCAGAAGGCTTGCCACCTGCAACACACCAACATAATCACCCTTATATTCCCCCCCTCAATCTTACAAATGGATTTCTTATTAAAACATTCTATATACATCGCTACCATACGTTAGCAATTTTACTTAGTGGATATGCTTTTTCCATGTGTGTGCTTTTAAATTGCTTATTCACTTAATGGGGCGACCTCTTAACAAAAGCTCGGTGGTTCCCGCCTCCTCCAGTCTGCATGTCGAAGTGTCCTTGGGCAAATTGCTCCCGACGGCTGTGCCATCAGTGTGTGAATGTGACATAGTGTAAAGCGCTTTGAGTGGTCGCAAAGACTAGAAAGACGCTATACAAATACAGACCATTTACCATTTAATATTCCAAAACAAACTGAAATACATATAACAAGTTAAAAATAATATAAAATCCTTAAAAAAAGAAGGAATTTAACTTTTAACCTAGCTACAACTAAAAAAAAAACAAAAAAACACAAAGTTGGGACATGTTAGTTCGCATGCCAATTAGTGATATTTGTTTTATTTGAACAACCAAGGCCAACATATGAACCCTGGACCTTCTAACGGCACAGAAATAGTTCATTTATCAACAAGAATCCCCAAAAGATTAACCGTTTCTCTTTAAAATTAAACGAACCTCCAGGAGACTAATGACGGGAAGTCGTTTTCTCTTGATAGAACTCACGGGTGTGCAAAATAAAGCCACAAATATCACCTTCAGAACATGACAAGGCAGCCGTGACAAAATTCACCTGCAGATGGCAGCATGGAAGCAATTAATTCAGTGGTCTCACCCTTGCTTGTTCTCTCATGTGATTAACAATGAGGTGGTCTACTCTTGTGGGGTTTGGTGGAGTTTTGGGTAGGTTAGTGTTGGTCACTGCTGCAGTCTTTTTTCCAGCATGTGTCTTGGTGAGGATGACCTCTGTCTAAAATAGAAAACAAGTGAGAACATTTGCACAGCAGCAAAAATTTAAAAATTATTTATATATTTTTCTTTACTTCAGTCTAGTAGACAACCACATAGCTAACATGAACTAAAATGTTAAACTTTGTAGAGCTCATCTGAAATTAAATGTGTAAAGCACATGAGAAACTTAACATACATTTTCCACTGATCCCAAGCTAATATTGAATATTTTCCAATACCTGGTCCCAAATTGATATTTTTTTCTTATTTCATAAACTGTATAGTGGACTAGAGCCCAGCATTTCTGCCCGAGTCCGAATGGAGCCTGGCAGCCAATTTCCATGTCACAGCTCACACATGGGCCGGGCGTTGGGCCTGTATTTAGCTTCTCCTACTTTTGTTTTAGACATCCATCAATTAAAAGAAACTAGGAGAAGTTAGAGATGGTAAAATAAAAGATAGGAAGATGATATATAACCTATCACATTGACACATGACAAAGTCTGCTCGCACGGACACACACAGACTGTGCTTCTGGCTGTAGTGTTAGGAGGCTGTCTCATTGTTTGGGATAGGCCATGTTTTGTGGTGAAGCCTTCATTTATGATATATAGCCAGGTGTAAGGTAAGACAACCTGTTTTTGTTAGTTATTGTTTGTTTTTCAGCATACTGTTGCAAGCAGCAGCAGCCTGCCTCAGCTAGTCAAAAATGTTTAAATGGCTGCAACAGTAGTATAAGGCTAGTAGTAAAAAAATAAAAACGGGCTCCAGTCGGGCTCGGGCTTCTGAGAAGCTGTCGGACACAGCTCTATAGTGGAGACAGGCCACATTAAAAGTAGTACACGTAAAGTTGATAGATGTGTTTGACTGTTGAATAGCTCAAAGAAAATACTCAGTTTGTGATGTTTTGATAACAAATGAATTAACCATATAGCCATTGCCCAATACTGTTCTAAACTAGACAAAATCAGATTTCAAAAACATACCCTCTTTCTCTCCTTCTCCAAACACCTCCACTGCTCATAACACTCGTCCAGGTATAAGTAAAGCTGGATCACAGGTCCTCCTTGATTCATCACCATTGACATTGTCATGGCTGAGCCCATGCCATGATAAGTGCTCTCTCCTCTGCGGGTCATCATGTCACTGGCATAGGAGTTGAAAGCGGCACACTCATTCGCTGACATCATATCACCCACGTCCATGCCAGGAACACCACTTCCATAGGGCAGCATGGATCTTGAACTGAAGTTAGAGGAGTTGATGGGCGCGCTGGAGTGTCGTCTGTGGTCATTTACAGGATACATGAGCTGCTGTGTATTCCCTGCACTCACCATGGTGGTTTCTTCATCAAATCTCTGAGACTGCATGCTCCCCAGGTGGTCAACATACGGGTTATGTGAGAGGGCCTGTTTCATGTCTCCCCCTCTCATATTAGTGTTGGTTAGGGGTCTTGTAGAGAAACCTTCTCCCAGAAAGCCAGGCATATGCATCCTCATCTTTTCCTTCTGCATCTGTGGCTTGAACTTGCTCTGTATCGGCTCCTGCTGGATGTAATGCTTTGGATACTGGTTCATGCTCATTTTAAAGGGAAGTGAAGGTTTTTCTCTGTGCATGGTCATCTTGCTCTGGTATTGGTTTGGGAGGTTTAAAGATGCAGAGAATGGTTTTGTTGGCTGGAAGTACTCTGTGTTTTGAGGGCCGAAACCAGGTAGATCTTGAAAGGCATCATGCTTAAACGTCTGTTTCCTCACTCCTCCATTTCTTTCCGTCTGCACTGTCCCAAATTCTGTCACCAGCTGTTTTTGGGTCCACACTACAGGAGTACTTTGTGTTGACATTGCAGGACTGGAGATTTTCCATTGTTCAACCATGCTGTCTTCATGGTGCATGCCCACTGTCTGCTTGTGCATGTTTGGAAAGTCACCACGACATAAGCTATCATGCTCACCAGCCATGAACGACTGAAAACTGCTGACCAATTGATTAATGTTTTGTGGCACATACTGCTCATTACTGATGGGCTTTGGGCTGCTCTGGGTGGTGTGGTCTTCATAATATGGATGAAAGCATGGGCTCTTCATTTCTGTTTGAGGTCTAAAGACATCAATGAGGTCAGGAAAATTATTCAAAGGCTGACTATTCCCTCTGTCTCTATCAGCTGACGTGTTGGCATATTTGCTTTGTTGCATCTGTGACAGGCAGGTGTTTCCCATATTGGGTATTGGTAGACCTGGTGGCGGTTTCTGAGGACGAAGGGTGTAGCTGTCCCCGTCTCCGTTAAAAAGCCATTGCTGATTGGTAGCAAAGCCTTTGGACTGTTGACTAAACTCTTCAACATCTTTGTCCACTGACAGTCCCTGCGCTTTACTTAAAGCCTCACAGGATACATAGTGTGGAGGAAAGTTAGGATTTTGTTGCGTTTTATCCTCCGATTGAAAATACTGTAGCAGTTCTTCTCTCAATGTCTTTGGAGACCAGACAGGATTACATGTGGGTAGGCTCCTAGAAAAAGAATTGAAGATCACCTTTAATGTTATAATAAATCTTTTGGGTTGTTAAACTCTTTGGTGTCACAGCAATAAATCATACAATACCATTCAATGTGAATGCCTTAAACCTTGCCATACCGTTCACTGTAGTAGTGGTCTTGTGAATCTGCGTCATCCAAGATATTTGACACTAGACCCTGTAGGTCAGTCTCCCCGTCACAATCAGGATTATCAGTGGGTTTCCTTAAAAGGAAAAGAAAAACCTCTAAATTACTGAACTCTCATTTCTTTTTTCCTGTGAAAACATTCATTAAACAGTATGGCTGACAACTTTTTGAAAACATTTCTTCCACAATAAGACGGGCATCAAGTACATTTAAGTAAATCAGAAACAGCTTTGTTGCCAAGTAGTTTTACACATACAAGGAATTTGCTTTGGTGACAAAGTTTAAGCAAGTACTGAAGGTCAAGAATCATACAATATAGAATTGACAACATAATATAAGAAAATGCACAATATTTGCAGTGGGGCCAAAAAGTATTTAGTCAGCCACTGATTGTGCAAGTTCTCCTACTCAGAAAGATGGAGGTCTGTAATTTTCATCATAGGTACACTTCAACTATGAGAAACGAGAAAAATATATTAAAAAAAAAAATCCAGGAAGTCACATTGTAGGATTTTTAAGTTATTTATTTGTAAATTATTTTGGAAAAATAAGTATTTGGTCAAAAAAAAAAAAGTTCAACTCAATACCTTGTAACATAACGTTTGGTGCAATGACAGAGGTCAAACGTTTCTTGTAAGTCTTCCCCAGGTTTGCACACACCCTAGCTGGTATTTTGGCCCATTCCTCCATGCAGATCTCTAGAGCAGTGATGTTTTGGGGCTGTCGCTGGGCAACATGGACTCTCAACTCCCTCCACAAATTTTCTATGGGGTTGAGGTCTGGAGACTGGCTAGGCCACTCCAGGACCTTGAAATGCTTTTTAACGGAGCCACTCCTTCATTGCCCGAGCGGTGTGTTTGGGATCATTGTAATGCTGGAAAACCCAGCCACGTTCCATCTTCAAGGCTCTCACTGATGGAAGGAGGTTTTGGCTTAAAATCTCACAATACATGGCCCCGTTCATTCTTCACACCGATCAGTTTTCCTGTCCCCTTAGAAGAAAAACAGCCCTAAAGCATGACGTTTCCTCCCCCATGCAACTCTGCATTCTTCTTCCAAACATGACAAGTTGAGTTTTTACCAAAAAGTTCTATTTTGGTTTCATCTGACCACATGATGTTCTCCCAATCCTCTTCTGGATCATCCATATGCTCTCTGGCAAACTTCAGACGGGCCTGGACATGTACTGGCTTAAGCAGGGGGACACACCTGGCACTGCAGGATTTGAGTCCCTCTCAGTGTAGTGTATTACTGATGGTAGCCTTTGTTACTTTGGTCCCAGCTCTCTACAGGTCATTCATCAGGTCCCTCCATGTAGTTCTGGGAATTTTGCTCACCGTTCTCATGATTATTTTGACCCCACGGGATGAGATCTTGTGTGGAGCCTCAGATCGAGGGAGATTATCAATGGTCTTGTAGGTCTTCCATTTTCTTAAAATTGCTCCCACAGTTGATTTGTTCACACCAACCTGCTTGCCTATTGTAGATTCACTCTTCCCAGCCTGGTGCAGGTCTACAATTTTCTTCCTGGTGTCCTTCGACAGCTCTTTGGTCTTGGCCATGGTTGAATTTGGAGTCTGACTGTTTGAGGCTGTGGACAGGTGTCTTTTATACAGATAACGAGTTCAAACAAGAGCTTCTTAAAGAAGTTACAGGTCTGTGAGAGACAGAAATCTTGCTTGTTTGTGGGGGACCAAATACTTATTTTCCACCATAATTTACAAATAAATTCTTTGAAAATTGTACATTTGATTTCCTGGATTTGTTTTTTCTCATTTTGTCTCTCATAGTTGAAGTGTACCTATGATGAAAATTACAGACATCTCTCATCTTTCTAAGTAGGAGAACTTGCACAATCAGTGGCTGACTAAATACTTTTTGGCCCCACTGTATATTGATTGGACAAAAGAGTAGTGCGATTGCCTAACACTACTGAATTACATGTGGGATAGTGCAAAGATGAAGAATCACACACCTGAACATTATAGTTAAAAGTGAATACCTGCTTTTAATGCTGCTCTGGCCACAACTGATAAGGCCAAATGGATCATCATGAGCACTGTGGGACCAGGGCATGTAGGATGCCGTGTCCTGTTCCTGCAATGAGACGCTAGGCATGGAAACGAAAGGCAATGCCACACTACTTTTGTTTCCACCTGCTACATTTACACTAGCCTGAAAGAGAGGGAAGCAAAAGTTAATCAATCTGAAGCTCACATGAGCAGATCATTCACTTATTGAAACAACTGCTGTAGGTACCACACAAGCTTTAAACTATTTAAAAACACAAATGCAGAACTTGAAATTATTAGTTAATTAATCAATTGATCGATAATGACTTAGTGACTATTTTGATAATGAAACAGTGAATTCAATAGTACGAATTTACTGCTCTTTTAGTTATATATATCATTGTAAATTTTATATTTTGGGGTCTTAGACTGTTGGTCAGACAAAACGCAATTTTCAAGACATCGATATACCATAGCTATGACCCTAAAATTATATAGCTTACCTGACGCTGGTATGTGGGAAAGAGTGAATTTGTAAATGTGTTCTGGTGCCCATCAAATGCCATTCTGAACTTCCTTGAACTTTACCTGATTCTTTACTTCATTACTGATCTGGCAAAACACAAAGTACTCATTGTTAATATTTGATATAACCTTGCGTGACAGAGGTTTTAGCTCAAATACAAATTATTTGCTAGCTAACTGCAATTTCAGAGGAAGCAAATCAACTACCTAACTTAACTTAGCCGTTAAGTTAGTAGATTAAGCTAGTAACGTTAGCAAGCTGTCGACTCTGGCTAATTAGGACTAACGTTAAACTTACGCCAGAATTATTACAACTGCTTCCCCGCCAGGCAAATTTGGCTAACTTCGCCTAACATTAAACAAACCAAGTTATATGGTTAAAACACGAACCCACCTGTATAAGTTAAATAACGGGAGCTTTTGGAGTCAACAGTTTTCTTCAGTGTAAGTACATTAGCCTCAAGTGCTCGCGTGCCCCCACAAGTTCGATGTGGCCCTCGCGACCTGAGCGCACATTGGCTGAGAAGATCTATTTTTAGTCCAATCAAGAGAAGAAACAAGCGCCTAGCAACATCTGGTGTCACTCTCTCTGCCGTAGCATGGACACACAGGTGGACCGGAGTTTATCAATATAGTATAAATGGCATAAATTAAATTAAATTTTAATATGCACTCATTGCTGATTATTATTTATGTTTTTTTGTTGTTGTTATTATTGTTACTACATTGTGCTTTCTCTTTTCAAATTAAATTTTTTATTAATTTTACTTTATTGACTTTCCTTTGCAATGTAATTATTGCATTATTGCTATATTAAATATTTATTCAGTTTAGTCCTGTTTAGCTACTTAAATTAGATAATTTAAGTAGATTTTGTTCAAATAAAATGTATTTCAATGCCATTTAATTCAAGAGTTATTTACAAAGTACCAAATTAGTCCCAATTTTGTTGTGGAGTACGAACATTGCATGGACAATAAAGTACACTAGGTGGGAAGTCTACCTCCTCCTCCTCGAAGTGGAACTTGAAAGTCTAGTTGGACGCATCTACTGGGCCACGCAATCCAGCTGTGGAGTCAAGTGTGACAAAATTACCAAAATACTTATGTAGTATACAAGCGACATTACCTTCAAAATAAAAGCATTCACTTGGGCTATACAAAACTTAATAAAACCATTGCCTTTTAACAAAATTGGATAATATCAATGCAGTCCATTCCAATTGAATATGAATCTGATGCTGTATTTAATTTGTCGTATACTGTTTGATATTAATGTAATATGGACGGATGGATGAATGCAATTTATATAATTTTAATACATTATTCTTATTATGTATTATTATTATTATTATTATATTATTATTTATTATTACTACATTATTATTACTATTATTAAACTGAAATTACATAGGCTTAACATAGGCCTACATTTTAATTTTGGTAGCCTGCAACCAATAGTTATTGGTTAGGCCTACATATCAGTCGTTTATTTATTATATTACCTATTTGTGCTATGCTGGTACCTTTCACCAAAGCAAATTCCTTGTATCTGCAAACCTACTTGACAATAAAGCTGCTGACATTGTTGGCTACAAATAAGCTTGTACAAATAACTAATTTTCGTCAAATAGAACTTTATTTTGAAAGGTATTACCGGCAGTGATATTTCTTATTGTGGCTACCTTGACAACTGTGAAAGAATCGGAGTTGAGGAAAAGAAAAAAGTCAGCTATCAGTGTTTTCAATGCAAAGCGGAGACAAGCACTAAGAGAGAAGCGTCCAGGTCTTTACCACTGCAGTTTTTCCTTTTAGTTAGTTTTGCTCGTAATATTGTGCAAATTAGATAATTGATGATACATAACAAAACAAATTTAGAGCTAGTTAATCGGACTAAAATTGTTGTTTTAAACTTGGGAAGATGACTTTGTGGAAGTCCTGCTCTGTTGCACTCCTGCTGCCTCTGCTGATATCAGCCCAGTATCAAGGGGACAGTGGAATAGTCGTCCCGGAGCATGGATTTTGTCAGCCGATTTCAATACCTCTGTGCACGGATATTGCCTATAACCAAACCATCATGCCAAATTTAGTCGGCCATTACAACCAGGAGGACGCAGGGCTCGAGGTGCACCAGTTTTACCCTCTTGTAAAGGTACAGTGCTCGCCGGAGTTGAAATTCTTCCTTTGCTCCATGTATGCGCCTGTGTGCACGGTTTTGGAGAAGGCCATTCCTCCCTGCAGGTCAATCTGCGAGAGAGCCAAGCAGGGCTGCGAGGCTCTCATGAACAAGTTCGGCTTCCAGTGGCCGGACCGACTGCGCTGCGAGAACTTCCCTGTGTTGGGAGACGGACTCTGTGTGGGCCAAAACGATTCCTCCACCGCCACTGTCCCACCCATCATTTCTGTCCCGGGGACCCAGGACATGTCCGCGGTCTCCACACATGAGAGGCCTTTTCGTTGCCCGCCTGTTCTCAAAGTACCCCCATATGTAAATTATAAGTTTTTAGATGAGAAGGATTGTGCAGCTCCATGTGACCCATCAAGGAGCGGTGGGAATATGTTTTTCAGTGACAAAGAGATTCATTTCTCCCGCATATGGATTCTTGTTTGGTCTGTGCTTTGTTGTGCATCTACATTATTCACAGTAACCACCTATTTAGTTGACATGCAGCGCTTCAGATACCCTGAGCGGCCCATCATCTTCCTCTCTGGCTGCTACACAATGGTCTCCATCGCCTACATAGCTGGCTACTTCCTGGGGGACAGAGTGGTGTGCAACGACAGCTTCAGCCCAGATGGCTATAAAACCATCGTCCAAGGCACCAAAAAGGAAGGTTGCACCATCCTATTCATGATGCTCTATTTCTTCAGCATGGCCAGCTCCATCTGGTGGGTGATCCTGTCTCTCACCTGGTTCCTGGCAGCAGGTATGAAGTGGGGCCATGAAGCAATTGAGGCCAACTCTCAGTATTTTCACCTGGCAGCCTGGGCAGTGCCAGCCGTCAAGACCATCAGCATCCTGGCCATCGGGCAGATCGAGGGTGACGTGCTTAGCGGCGTCTGCTTTGTCAGTCTCAGCAACCTGGACCCTCTACGAGGCTTTGTGTTGGCCCCACTCTTCATTTATCTCTTCATCGGTACCTCTTTCTTGCTGGCCGGCTTTGTGTCACTGTTCCGAATCCGCACCATCATGAAACACGATGGCACCAAGACAGAGAAGCTGGAGCGACTGATGGTGCGGATTGGGGTATTCAGCGTACTCTACACCGTCCCTGCAACCATTGTTATTGCCTGCTTCTTCTATGAGCAGGCCTTCCGCCCCCACTGGGAGCGCAGCTGGGTCAGCCATAACTGCAGGGGCTTGGCCATCCCCTGCCCTATACAGAGTGGGCCCCGCATGACTCCAGACTTCACTGTCTACATGATCAAGTACCTGATGACACTGATTGTGGGTATCACTTCTGGTTTCTGGATCTGGTCCGGAAAGACGCTCCACTCCTGGCGTAAGTTCTACAGTAGGCTGACAAATGGCAAACATGGAGAGACCACTGTCTAGAATAAAGGGACATCTAAATGTTGCTGGGACTAATGTTGTGCATTAATACCTGTTTTTCATGTGATAGGTAAGTTGCACAGTTAGCAGCTATATGTTCTTACAGCATTTGTATTCGCCTCAGCTTAATAGCCTGCATGCAAAACTGAGGGTCAGAGTTTGACAAAAGGGCAAGCTGGATAAACAAGAACTGAACCTGACTGTCTGAACAAATAACAAGCATGGCGATGGATGCCATGTGCTGAAATGCTCCCCTCCCCTTCTCTTTTCTTAAAGCCACCTCAAACTCAAAGGAAGTGGTGATCCAGCAGCCAAGAACATAGGGAGTGGGGGAATGAGGTGTGGAAGAATGGCAGTTTATTATTCTATTGTAACATTTCATAAATGAAATTGTAAATAGTATTTGTAAAAACATGAAATTATATATTTGTATTTAAAGAAAGTAAATACTTTTCCTTATCTGCTAGTGTACCTGCTTTACGTTTGCACTGTAAGAAATGCCACCGTAGATGTAGTCATGCGCCTTTTTTATTAATTGTTGGTTTTAAATTTTTTATGGATTAAAAGAATGTTTACAGTTCAGGATATCAAAACAACTTGTTTGGTTTAGCCCACTGCATTGTCACTCCTCTTTAAACAAAAACATGTGCTGAGACAGCAAAATATGCAGATATCGTCAAAAACCTATTAATCAAATGCTTAATTTTAAATGCCTAGTTCAAGGGGGACAAACAGTATTGATTATTTTTTTGCCCTTCCTTATGTTCAGTATTCTTTAACAATTAAATAGTGTCTTCATAGCAAGTTATTTTCTTTGATAAAAGAACCGCCATGTTGTTTTCTCAAGGGCGTGCGGGTTGTGTCACACCTAAACATCTGTTTCCTTAGACTGGCAGGCAACAGTAGAAGATAATTGGATTTTGCTTCTTACACATGACTGTAACCCTCAGGGATATGCAAGGACTGAGTTTATATATGAGACTGAATTGAACACACCTCTCCTGTTAATCTCTTATCCCACAAATTGTCAATATATTCTGAAATATTTCACATCTAAATGTTTTGTGTCTTGAGAATCTGCTGCCAACCTGTAAGAATGCGGAGGCCTTCCTCATACACGTACACTAACATCGACTTCAAGTGCAAAACAAAACAAGAAACTTTTTTTTTGCCTGTTGTTGGAGAGGGCTCGGTTAAATCAACAGGATTCATCTGGCATGAAAAGTCAGTACTGTTGTAAGGTGTGAAAATGTTCCTGCCTGCCTGTTTGGCGAAGGGAAAACAAGGTGTTCAGCTTTGCTATATAGTGTTACTTCTCTGGAGCCACTGTGCTCCGTGCCAAGTTGGAATCCCCCAAGCCATGCATGGCTGAAACTGAACCTCGTCTGCGGTGATGTCATGAAGTAGATGGGTGTGTTGGAGAAAACCGATCCTCTTGCCTCAGAGCAGAGGCTCTGGGCTAGAAGCAGGCGTTTGAGAATTGCACGCACATACAGTGCTTTGTGTGTGTTCATATTTTTACTGCAAAGTTTTAGAGGGGCACATAATATAGAACCCATAATCACTATATAAAGCTGTATGTCTGTAGGTTACAGTACAATTACTGACATGAGTTTACCATGAGCAGAGCCTTACAAATGGACCTCTCTTATATCTCATGACCTGTTGGACAAGTTGAAGTTTGTCGTTTTTATGTCCTTATCTGGAATTGAATAAAGAAGGGTTGTAATAACAGACAGGTGAGAGTGATTAAAGGTAGGAACAGATACTCTGAGGGGGGAAAACCATAAATCTACCCTCTAACACCCCCTCAGCCTCTACCCTTCTTCCCTCTCTCTGCTCAGATGAATGGGGGGAATGCGGGTGAGTCAGTGGAGCGGTGCTGGGCCTTTGCCTAGTGACAGACAGTCTCCTGTGTGCTGCT